ACTTTTAAATAATTATCTTTTTTTAGGTCAGAACTTAAAGAAAAAATATAAAATTATATTTTTAAAAATGATGAGCCGGCACGTGGGGGCCCGTGGCCCACATAAGGCTGGGGTGGACTGACCATTATAAGGCCCATCAAAATGATGGGCTAGCCCAACTCAACCCGTCAATTGCTAAAGCTCATGTGGGCAGAGCTGAGCTAGCCCGACCCATATTGACAACTCTACTGTAAAGTAATGGTGTTTAATAAATAAATGAAACATTTCACTTTTGTTTAATTACAATTATTAGTATCTAATCATAGTTAAATGCCATGTGTTTTGCACATACAAAAATACTTAATAATCATGTTTTCTCTGCTATATTTTAGATCCAGATTGACGGTGAGTTCTTGTACATAATTGGCTGTTACTTTCTTATAAAAGAAGGAAGGAAGGCATTTCGAAAGGTTCATCTGGATACGCAGAGACAAACCTAAGTTAGAGTAAATTATAGAGAAATTTTAATAAAGCACCATCTTTTAGGTCTAATTAGCCATTTATAGATACTTTTTACTATATTATGTGTTATAGATATCTTTTATATTTTTATACAATGTATTTCATGTATTTGAGATGTTGTATTCATTAATACAACCAAAAAAATAGGCGTAAAAATAGGAATTCCAGCTAAATCTGATATGTATTTAACTGTATTTAAGCGGCTTTAACGTGAAATACAGTAACGTATCTGCGCAGAATTTGGAATGTTAAACTTATTAAAAACGGAAGGAAATCAAATCACATGATATTCTCCTAAATTAACTCAATGAACTAAAACTAGTACACATTAATCTGTATTCTGCTCAAAGACAGCATCTCAGAAACGTCAATACAGCGAAAAAACAGAGCAATATCTGATCGAACTTCTTCCATTCTCTTCTTTTTTTTTTCGATTGATACAAATTATATACAAAATAAGGTATTCATCCTCTATACATATGGCAAGTTTAACAATTTTGTTGCGTCATTCTGGCAAGTGGAACGATGAGGGCAATTACATCGATTTTTCAATTGAGGGAATACTGATAAAGGAGTATGCCTCCTTTAATGATCTGGTTGTTTCAATTTCAAATCAACTGGGTATCGATTTGAGCTCCAAGACCATTAAAATACAATACAAAGTAGAAGGAAATTGCATACCAATAGAAATACACAATGATATGGGTTACAGAGTTTATGTAGAATTGAAAAAAGAGAACAGAGAATTTGGGATGTATCCTTTGTGCATAACAACTATCGAAAAAGATCTTATATCCGGAGGTAGTTTAAATCAAGGCGACATTGTGCAAATAGACGAAGGAGTTCAAAGGTACGATTCTGATACAAATGATACACTGGCTCTAGATTTTGTCAATTCAGGAGAAGTGATTGGAGTGTTAGAACTCCACAAGGATTTGATAATTTCAAAAACTAATCAAAAGGAGGTTATGGATGGACAAGTTTATAAGGATAAGGCTACATTGAAAGAGGTGATGAAGAATTATGCTATAGCTCAAAGGTTTCAATTCCGGGTTGATAGGTCTAATGCTGTCAGGTTTGCATGTATTTAAATTTTTTTTTCCATTGTATTTTCGATTATTTGTTCGAGCTGTAAGTTTAACGTCGTTGTATTTATGCGTATTTGTGTATTTCATCTAGATGATCACAGATGAAGTAAACATATGTTTGTTTAGGGCATTTAAATACATGTATTTATATGTATTTTACTGGTATAAATACACAACAGTGGCTCTAATTATTTTCATATTATGTCTACTGTGGTATTAAGTGTATGCATATACAAACAAGTGTATTCAGTTGTATTCAAACACATATAACTATAATGGAATTCAGTAGTATAAAAATTTATATATATAGATGTCAGGATGTATCTATGTCAGATTATATTTGTCTGTATATAATGTGAAATGTAAATACATTGTTAGGAGTGCCTTCTAACTGGAGAGCCATGAAGCATCTGAAGAGTTGATGTTGAACTTCACAGCGCTTCATTTGAAGAAATGAGCCAAAGCAAGTATTGCCAAGTTGTTGGTACTGATCAGGAGTAAGGTTCTCTTTTAGCTGGGAGACTATATCAGTATTAGTATAAACACTGATATGGAGTNAGTATTAGTATAAACACTGATATGGGGTGCAAATTTTGGCTGGTGTTTCACAAAAAAATTAATTCCCTGCATTTAACAAGAATAAATACATGTAAATACAATTGAATACAAAGCATATTTCATAGTAAATCTTACATGAATATATATGAATACAACTACATATACTTAGAAGTATAGATATAACTGAATACACAGAATATATTACAGTACATCTGATATGAATACATACGAATACAACTAAATACATTGACAAGGCTAAATACATATTAAAAAACTAGCTACAACACACATGACATAAAAAATAAGTAAGCAGAATACATATGAATACAATTAAAAACTTACTGGAAAATTGAACAATTGCAAACAAAAAATAACTAAGATGAATACATATGAATACAATTAAAAACATACTGGAAAATTGAACAGTTGCAAACTATCAAAATACATAAGAATACATATACATACTTATAAATACAACTGAATACAGTAATACCAAATAGTACAAAAATGTGAAATTGAATAAAACTAAATATATTTAAATACAACCAGATACATACAAATACAACATTGTACATGTAAAATAACTTGAATAATTATGAATACATATAAGTTTCTTTGAATACATATTGATACAATAGCAATTACCTTTTGGTGTCGTGTATCTGATATTTTTTTTTGCAGCGACTTCCTTTACATTGACACATGAAGAATCATTCATAGGTTTTTTCATCTTTGAAACAACTGGATTTTTTGTTTCTTTTGAAGATTTCTCAACTTGGACTTCTTTCGACTTGTCATTGTGTAATTTAGTTCTTCTCTGTGAAACTGTAGTTGCTGACTTACCTGCAAAATCCGACCCCCCTTGAGTTATTTGCAACGAGAAAGAGGGCCCATCAAAATTGAGAATTTTGGTGGGTATACCTCTGATTATCATCTTGTGTGGCATTGAATCCGCCATTGAAGAGAAAAACCAAAGCTTCCTGGTGAGCAAACAATACCAATGGTTATTGTTTCAGAAATTTATGAAAAATCGTATAAAAATTAGAGAACCAAATTAATGATATCAAAGTTCGAAGAAGTAAACTTACCAGGAGAAAACTTACCAAATTTTAAGATATATTTTGAATGTTGGATTGATAATGGCGGAGAAATAGAGAATTTGTGTGGGAGAAGAGTTATGAAACATGAGTTTGTGGGAGAAGAGAGTAAAGTGTATGCAAAAAGAGAGAGAACGTGTTTAGAGCATATATACGGTAATTATGTGAGAGAAAATACTAAAAAGGAGAGAGAAAAATATTATTTAGCATATATGGTGCCTTAAATATAGAATGTAACTATAATTAGATATTTTGCTATAAAGGATAAAAGGTATTTATAGGATGTAATATTTTAAAATGGTATTTATTTAAAATAAATAGGGTACTAAAGTTTCTATAGGGGGTAAAATTCCCTTATCTCAATTCATATGATACTCTTTTTCTGTAGACATAAATTTTTTGATGCATAACAGTTTTTGTACAACTTTTAAGATTTACAAGGATTCATGTTCATTAAACTATTAAAATTCTAGATTCTGAGATAATGTTCTCTTTATAAAACTAATTTTTAGCCCCATTACATTAACCCTCTATTTTACTATCTCTAATATAATATATTTTAAAACGTTATGCTCAATCAAATATGATCATATGGAATTTGACGGACTGGTAAATGAATGTCATCCTTTCAGGGTCTATAACAAACATGTTGGTTTCTAGTGAATTTTGGCAAAAAAGATTGGAAATGGAGGAGGAAAAAAAAAAGAATAACACAGAGGCAAAATAAAAGGAAAACTGAGTGAGAAGTTGAGTTTGTTAGAAAATCTAGGTTGTGCTAATTCTTGTTTGACTTTCTTTCTGCCAATTGAAATAGGGGAGTCTATGTTCTAAATGCTCACCTAGTATGACATGTTAAATTACACAAATGGTGTAAAAAGAGCATTATGTTGTCAACGTCTATAATTTAAATCAACAACAATAACGACGATGATCTAATAAAATCAGTAGTGGAGTTTGGGAAGAGTATGTACGCAGACCTTACCCCTACACGAGGTAGTAGAGAGGATGTTTCCGAAAGACCATCGGCTCGGCTCAAGAAGACGAAAAGAGACAATATTAGTACCACCAATAGAAATCATAAGAAAAATAACATCATGAAAATGAGAAAGTAGATGCAAAGCAAAAGAAATAGACAGAACATACACCCGGCACTATGGAAAACGAAAGAGCAGTAAGACGCAACATTGTCGCTAAATGACTTCGACAAAAACCCTACCAGACTAGCCTCACAAAGGTACGAAGTAAGGAAAGACTCAGTTACCTCCTAACCTACAACCTTAATACTCGACTTCCACAACTTCCTATCAAGGATCATGTCCTCGGAAATCTGAAGCCTCGTCATGTACTGCCTGATTACCTCTCCCCAATATTTCTTAGGTCGTCCTATACCTCTTCTCGTACCCTCCAGCGCCAGCCGCTCTCACCTCCTTACGGAGCATCTAGACTTTTCTTTTGTACGTGTCCGAAATAAATACATCATTTACTCAAGAGAGTATATGACCTCTGGTTAACATACTTTCTTTTCTTTGATAAGGTAACATTTAACCCCTGGTAAACATTTTAGTATGAAACATGAACAGAGATTACAAGCTGTTCCTTTTCAAGAGAAACAACAACAACGACCCAATGAAATTACATTAGCGAGGTCTGGGGAGGGTAGTGTGTACGCAGACCTTACCCCTACCCCGAAGGAGTAGAGAGGCTGTTTCAAGAGAAACTGATCGATATTAATACTCGTGAGTTTTGCATTTGGAGGTGTAAAATTAAATTACCTTGGTGGAGTTCCCACAAAAAGATTCCTAAATACATACATTAACACTTGAAAGAACAATGCAACAATAAAATTCTCAAATGTGCTGACTACTGTTCTTAATTAAAAATCACAATAAGAAAGGCTGCAATTTCTTTCTTTACATTAACCTCCCCTATGCCTTTGAAGTTCCTCTATGTTCCCTTTCAACGTGTTCCACAAGGGATACAGGATCGCGAAAACCTTTACTACATCTCGGGCAGACATCAACCGTCAAGTTCATGACACCATTCTTTTCATGGACTTTCTGCACATGACTTATGAGAGCTGCGACTGAAGAAAATTTTAGGGAGCATTGCGGGCATTGCTCAACTTGGCCACTACCACTCCCACTACGGTTTGTGCCGCTGATTCCTTCCTTTCCCATCTGCAGCGTCTGACTAAATTCGCTGCTCAATTTTGACATTCCAGCTTCAGCTGCCTTGAAGAGGTTTGTAGCCCAACTTGAGGATGAAGTGGCTGGAGCTTTCTTGGGCTCATCTTTTCTACTGCCAGTTCGAAAGTTCAAAAATGGGAATGCTGCTTCTGGTTTCTTACGTCCAGGACACTTGTGATCAGGTCCAAACCGATGCTTCAAACAATGATCGACAGTACACTCTCGACATTTGATTGTGTTTGAGAAAGTCAAGATCTCTCTGCAGCCAGGTACCGGACATTTTCTTTTCTTTGTGGCTTTTTCGTAGTTTGATGGATCACACTCGATATTTACATGTGATTCCCAAGTTATATTCGGGTCTTCATCAGGAATAAGGCGTATTCCTTTTGCACAGAGTGGGCAAACGACCACAGTAACATCATTCTTGTTTGCTTTTGGACAGTGGTGTCTATTATAGCTCCGATGATCTAGACAAAACACCTGCAAAGTTTTATAACCCACATTAAGCATCTTCTAGGTGTTACGAAGACTATTAAAGAAAGCATCAGAGAGTACAAAAGGGATATTCAAGGATCAAAATATGGTAATTTGAAGTCATATATCTCCGGCTTAACTAAGAAAACAAAGAAAAGCAAACAAAACGTGATCCACTATGAACAGTGTAAGACCAAGTGAATGAAACCTAAAGGCGAATGTACACGAACGCCAAGGAGGACGAGGAAACATATGATCCCTCCAGGGCTGGTTCTCTTTGTAAACTTCTACATATGTGGATATCCCTACTTTTGTTCTGCTTTACAGACAATCATAAATGCAAACCAAAAAAAGAAAGTAAAAAACTAGATAAAACAACAGATTGAGAGCAGGAAAGATTCTCACACTTTAGCAATGTGGAAACAGCCATATATAAGAAAAGAAATCCATCATTTTGAGTTTGGTCAACTTACAGTTAGTTCCTGATAACTTTAAACTACTTTACCTACAGCCACCCAAAAAACAAACTCTACGCAGAAGTTTCGTCCTATACTAATACAATAACAACTAAGCTTCTATCCCAAGCAAGTTGGGGTCAGCCGTATGAATCCCATTCCCCACTATCCACGTCGTTCTATTCAAGCTTATTCAGTCCAATATTGTAATAAAATGAAAATCTTCCTATACTAATGCAACACCTAAACGGTCACAGAGGGAAAGGGCTCAAATTTTATACAAATATGCACAGCAAATGCAAAGATGAGAATAGAGCACAGAGAAAGATTGTCATATCACATTCATGGCGATAAAGGTACCAGGGAGCTCTACCTCTAAAACACATTTTGTTTATTTTCACACCTTCAGAAGACAGCAAGTCTTACTCAAAGAAAGCTACTTACTAATAATTCAAAGGAACCTGAACTAAGATACTTAAGACCATATAATTGATGTACATCAAATTCTTAACTTTGTTGGCTCCTTAAGGTTTTGTTCGCGGACCGGGTATTTCTAACAAATACACTGGAAAGTAAGAAATCGTGAATAACATCACTGATTCCTTTACTGATTAAAAAAGGTTTTGTTGACGGACCACCCAGCTTTTGGACAATCACACACCCTCAAGACGTTATTATTAATAAGATTCACACTGCCTTGTCAGAAAGAGAAAAAAACAGCCGAAATCTCCATTATTCAAAATTTTATAGCATATTGTATTATACGAAGAATTGACAATGGCAAGCTTGTCTTCAGACGAGAACTACTTTGTCAAATTGCCAAGTGACAATTGCTGATAAAATTTCAATGTCATTTTTTCATCAGAAATATTGTTTATCTTTTTCTACTTCTATCTCCCACTATAGAATGCTAAACATATAATCCACCAGAGCATCCATTATTGTTAAAGGGTAGCAGACTTGTTGCTGCTCCTTTAATGCTAGAGCGGAAGTAAGCAAATTTGGCCATTTTCATTCCACTCAAGGCCATTTTTTCCCCACTTGCTGAATTTTCATATACATCATCAAGATCAAACTTACTGCATACACACTACCCTCCCCAGACCCTACCTATTGGGAATATACTGGTCTGTTGTTGTTGTTGTTGTATCATCAAGATCAAACTTTTATGCTCTCAAACCCCAAAAAGAAAAAGGTACGCACACAAACCAAAAACAGCAAATATCTTCAAATGCAGCTTGCAACAAAAAAGATCTTAACTTTGATTAATGGATCCACTATGCTTCAACACCAAAATAGCTGGGGCAGCTATATGAATCCTCTAAATCAATTCCACTCCATTCAGCCCATTCCTTTTCAACAATGACAACAAACCCAGTATATTCCCACACATTGGGGTCTGGGGAGGGTAGTGTGTACGCAGCCCGTTCCCTTTCAATAATCAACAATTTGTCTTTTTAAGACAAACTAGATTCTTAAATCTCAGAGTAACCCTACAGTAACTTACAAATCTATAGCCAAACTAAAAGAACTTCTTCAAACACTAAATGCACCTAACCTGAGTGTAACCACAATAACAACAAAGTTTAATCTCAACTAACTGGTCTCGCCTATACAGAAAAAGATATCAACTTTAATCAAATACAAAATACTTAATAAATAAAGCTTAAAATGCAAAATATAACAGAGATGAATATAAAAATTGCAATTACAAAGGAAGAAAAAGGGAACCTGGTGACAACAATCGCAAGTAAAAGGCAAGAAATCGATCTGCCGGCAATCATCCACGAAGCAGTGTTTTCCAAGATTTGGGAATGCTGGCGTCCCCATTGAATTATACACGTCTCAGTTCAGAGAAACTTATCAATAAAATCTCTTCAAGGAAAAAAAAAACAAGAATCTGAAACTCTTAATATTATAGTACTGGATGTCTAATTCCCTTTATTTGAGGGGAGAAAATTGGTAAATAGGTATTGGGTTGCCTTCAGAAAAAATCTTGTTATCTGCCGCGTTTGCGTTTGTTCGAAGATTCTGGAAGAGACAACGCGGATCAGAGGATTAAACAAAAAGTCCAACATTGACGTCTTTCCAAAGTCGTCTTTTGGTGGGGTGTACCTTTTTCTTTTTTCTTTTTCTTTATAACGACATTTTTACTATGCTTTTAGCACAGATTTCACTTTTATTCTCTTCGATTCATTCGTTTAAAGTATCGTTATAATCAAACAAATTTGGTTTAAAATAAATGAATTTCATTTAAAAAATAAAAAAAAAAACATTTAATTATTTTTTTCATATTTATTCTTGCTCCAATAAATAATTTACACAATTATCGAAAAGGATTCTCAACAGTTATTAACTCATTTTGAGGAAAACTAAAGAATAATTTAATCACAAATTTATAATTAATGTTACTTAATGAACTTTTGTATTGATATGCTAAAAGTTTAAAGACAATTAATTAAGATGAATTAGAGGAAGCAATAAGAATTAAGTTAGACCAATCTCAGTTTCTGATTGAGAGATGTTAACCATATTGAGCCGGTTGAAAGCACAAGTAGTCAAGTCCAACTTGTAACTCATTTTATATTTCATACTTTAGTCAAGTTACATTACTTAGATAGATAGTCATTATAATAATAAAGTGTAACTGTATAAACAAAGAAGTGCTTAATAATAAAGTTGGACAGTCATTTCATTTTGTTTTCTTTCACCTGATATTTTTCTCTCTAACTTCCATTTCCTTCTCTTCTCTCATACGAGGGTCGGGTTTTCCGTCCATGAAAATCCCACCATAATTGGTTGATCTGGATCATAACATGGTATCAGAGCGGGAATTAAACTTCAAACATATCATCCCGTCAGTTCGGCATTACCTCGCAGCTGATTTGTGGATTTTTCTTCGACAAAGTGCAAGCTCTAATTTCTGAGATTATGCGTCAATTTTCGACCTTCGATATGGATTTCTTTGCTTTGATTGTTCGATATTGGTTCACCTTGTTGTGAATTCTGATTGTGTTGCTTCGTACTCTAAAATCGGCTCCGACATCAGTTTAGGGTTTTCGCACCTTACCTACATTGTAAGCTGTTTTAGAAATTCTTTAACCTTTTGAAGAAGATTGGTAACATCTACTCTTGTTTTTTGAGTTTGCATGTTCTAACTCCTTGTGTATAAAATTTTTGTGGCATTTCTGTACTTTTCGGTAGAACTTTGTAAAAATGGCAATTGATAGTGATACTGTGAGTCCCTCTACCTCATCTGAAGTGTTTGCACCTTTTACTATAGATCCATCACATCCTTTTTATATACATTCTTCTAATAGCCCCGATACTCACTTACTCTCTCCACTTTTCGATGGGACTGGTTTTGTGTTATGGCGTAAGAGCTTCCCAGTCTTCCTATCTGCCAAAAACAAATTAGGCCTCATTAATGGTAGACATGCTAGACCTTCTATTGACTCACCATATTATCCTCATTAGGAGAGATATAATGATATGATGATTGCTTGGATCACCAATACATTATCCGGGGACCTACTAGTATTTTGGGATATTACACTGCTAGAGAGATCTGGTTAGACATCAATGAGAGATTTGGGTAGTCCAATTGGTCCAAGTTCATTCAGATTAAAAAAGAAATTGGCTTGATATTTCAGGGCAGTTCTGACATAGCTACCTATTTTACTCGAATGAGCAGTCTATGGGATGAACAACATACTGCATATGTATGTCTTGTTTGTTCCTGTGCAGCTTTGCCCAAGTTTCTGGAAGAATTAAAACTCTATCATTTTTTAAATGGACTTAATGAATCCTATTCTTCAGTAAAGAGCAACATTCTACTCATGTTCCTGTTCCCTCTATTACTAAATCATACTCCATATTACAACATGATGAAAAACAAAAGGAGTCTTCATCTTCTTCATTCCCATCGGTATTCTCCAATAATTCTACATCATTTTCTGCCAATTCTGCACCTGTGGGAGGTCAGAGAAATTTTATTCAGAAGGTCAATTTTGAGACAAAGAAGCTAGGGCATTCTATCTCATGCAAGTACTGCAAGAAGTATGGACATACAGTTAAGAAATGCTACAAGTTACATGACTTCCCTCCTGATTTTAAGTTCACCAAATCTAAAAGATCTGCCTCTTATGTTCAAGCTGAGAATCACATTTCTCCAACTTCTGGTTTCCATCCTACTGAACATGCAGCTCATGGGATTACTCAAGAACAATACAAACACCTCATAACACTCCTGCAACAACACACATGTCTCTTCTGGTCCTCATGATGATATGTCATGCAAGGAAAATACCAGTTATGCATATCTTGTAGGTTTGTTCAGTTTATTTAGTAGCATTATTTTTACTTCTGATAGTTATTATGTCTGTGCATCCACTCAGCTAAGTGTTATTTCTTGGATATTAGACTCAGGGGCCACTAACCATATGATACCCCACAAACATCTTCTTCACAACTTACAACCATTTCCAAACCATTCTTAATTACTTTGGCTAATGGATATAAGGTTAAGGTTATATCCACTGGTTCCTTGCATCTTAGGATTGATATAACTTTGCGTAATGTCCTGCTTGTTCCCTCTTTTCAATTCAATTTGATTTCCATTTATCAACTCATCGGTAAACTCCATTGTTATGCAATACTTACTAATTCTAGTTGTTTCTTACAGGCCCTTCTCTGAACTGAAAATTGGTAAAGAAGCACATGTACTATATTTTCTTCACACTGAAGGAACTAATTCATCTCACAATTATGGTTTAGAAAATACTGTTACACCTCATTTTTCATCTACACCC